GCATCCCTACCTCTTTCCATGATGGGGGAAGTTTACCTACGTATTTAATCCAGTTGAATGTTCTCAGCAGGAGGGGGAATAGCTCTTCTTTAAATATTTTTGTACCAGTCTGATGGAAAACCGTCACTGCCTGGAGTCTTATTTGATTTGGAGTTGCCAATTGCATTCTTAATTTCCTCTAAAGTAATTTCTGTTGTAATAACTTTGGTCTGTAATTCGCCAATGCTAGGTAAATCTAGTTCACTTAGAAAGTTTTTCATTTCTTCCACTGTAGTTACAGAGGATTCTGTATATAGTTGTTTGTAATAGTTTAAGAAAATGGTTTCTATTTCTTCTGGATGCTGTTTCAATTGATTTGTTTCTGGGTCCTGTATTTTACAGATGGTACTGTCTACTTGTTGTTTTCTCAGACGTCAGCCAAGTAGTTTGGCTGCTTTAGGTCCCAATTCGTAATATGCCTGCTTCATAAATCGTGACTTTTTCTCAATCTCTTGTTCTAGTGTATCACTAATCTGAGCCCTTAGTTGACGGATTTTGGCTAGTAATTTTGGGTCACTATTTTTCTTATGTTGTTGTTCTACATGTGACAGATCCAATAAAAGTTTATTATATTCAGCAGTCCTTGCTTTTTTGCTTGATGTTGCTAGAGCTATCATTTTACCTCATATCACCGCCTTCAATGAGTCCCATAGTATAGACGGATCTACTTCCCCATTATCATTTAAGTCTAAATACTCTTTTATTTCAAGTTTGATTTGTTCTACAATTGCCTTGTTATTTAACATACCCACATTCATCCTCCACACTGTATTCCTTCTCCTTCCATCCAGTTGAATTGTCAAATACACTGCGCTATGGTCGGATACATCAGTTACTCCTATTCTACATTCCTTCATCCTAAAACAGTCTCCTTTTTGCATGAAGAAATAATCTATCCTGGAGTATGTTAAGTGTGGTGCTGAGTAATGAGTATAATTCCTCTTAAGCGGATGAGCATACCTCCAGGCATAAAAAAAACCCCATATCCTCCCAAGCTGTATTGATTAATTTTGTTAGCTTGTTTTTATTATTCTTTAAACTAGTTGTGTCCATATCTTGATTTAGTATTACGTTGAAATCTCCACCACATATGCAAACACCCTCAGTCTCCAATGCTATCACATCAAACAATGATTTGAAAAAATGTTTGTCACTGTCTGGAGGTGCATATACATTTATCAGGGTCACCATATTTTCTTCGATTCTCCCCTTGACAATTACATATCTGCCCTCTTTATCTTTTATATCTTTACAAAATTCAAATTTAATCTTATTAGATATAAGAGTAGCAACCCCCCTTCTATGAGTTTGTGAATATGAAGTATAGTAAGTATTTTTGTATCCAAATCGTTTTAATTTCTCATGTTCTTGTCGTGAAAGATGGGTTTCCTGTAGATAAATTACATGCACCTCCTCCCTCTTTAATTTGGCCATCACCTTTGCCCTTTTAATTGGATTTCCCAGTCTGTTAACATTCTAGGATACTAGTTTTAAATCAAGTTGCACCATATCTTAACAGAAAATATCTTACATCTTTATATTCCCACAAGCTAACCTTAAACAGTGTAATAAACAATAAGAGCGAGATAACAACAAACTTGGAACCGTTTGTTTGGAACAATAAAACTAAAAAGTAAGATGACCTCCAAGGTCTGAAGAACATTCTCCAGTAAACTGAGGGGGGAAAGCCTCTCCTAATGAAAGGGCCCCCTCTTAGTTGGCAGCTACAGACTGTTCCTCACTAAAATTACTAGTGAAAATATGAGCTCGCTGGCAGTGATGTTCTCCCAGTCTCCTCGTCAGTCGGCGCACAAGCACTTATAAGAGACAGGATATATCTTATCTGTTCTTGTATAGTCTCCACTTGCTTATTCCAGTTTCTGCCGTTGGAATTGCCACAGGCGTTCTTTGGCCCGTACAGCCATATCCGATCCAGTGGATGATCCCGCTCGTTTTCACGGTGCACTCAGCTGGAGCTGCGGCATCTGGTCTCTTCTGTCGGGCGGTCTCTCTGGCACCTCTACATTGATCCTCTGCCGCTGGAGCTCCTGTGCTGCTGCCCATGCACTGTCATACATCTGCACCCCGCTGTCCCAGTGGATTTGCATCTTATTGAAAGGCGTCTGGAATCGGATGCCTTTCTGTTTAAGAGCTTTTTTAATGTTGATGTACGCTTTACGCTGTTGCAAAACCGTGGCCGTATAATCATGGTCAAAGTACAGCAGTTTACCTCTAATTGTGATCTTCTGTCGCCATGCTTTTTGGATAACCATCTCCTTGATGCTGTATTGTTGAAAATTGACCACAATAGACCTCGGAGGCGAGTTGGGATTTGGTTTCTGTGCCAAGGCTCTGTGTGCGCGTTGGATCTGGAGGTCGGTGTCCTCCGAAAGTTTCAGTTCAGTACGGAACAGCTTCTCCACAAACTCCACCACTGAGCTGCCCTCTGTGCCCTCTGGTACACAGTGAATACGCAGGTTATTTCGCCTGGCCCTTGATTCCAAGTCGTTCAGCTTGTCTTCTAGTTTCTGCAGATCCTGTACCGTTTGATGAATGACGATATCGGCCTCTGCACTTCATGTTTCTGCGTCGTCAATTCTCGTCGCCATCTCATCTATTTTTGCATTTTGTTCCTGTATGATTTGCATATTGGCTGTAAGTTGCTGATTAACATCTTGCTTAAACTCAACCAACTCTTGTCTCACATCTCGTTTGATTTCTTCTTTGAGCATTCTGAGGTCGTCTTTTAGTTCCGACTTGAGTTCACTAATCTGCTTGCTTACAGCTTCAAGTCCCGTACGAACTGCCGTTGTTTCATCTTCGCCATGTTGGGCTCCTGCCCCCTGCATTTCTTCGAGTTGAGCGGCTCAATTTGGGTCTTCCTCCGATTTATCCTGAGTCCCTTTTGTCTTTTGCTTTATTCCCCCTGGTCATAGTCACAATAAAATCTCCTGTAATATCTCTGAATTAAGTTCCTGAGGGTTTTATAAACGCCAACTCACGGGAGCCAAAAGCTCAGCCCGCCATCACGCTCTGCAGCCAACTGGAAGTCCTGTACACCATGAGGTTTTACCTATAATCTTTCACCAACAAAACTAATAATACATCTAAACACATAATATGTATTCCATAGCATGTCTTATTCTAGAATTAAATAAAATTGTCAAGCAACATAAAATATCATGCCATCCATACATTTATATACACAAGGCATAAAATACAAGACACAAGACATTCATTTGTACATCCTAAACGCTATTCACATACTTCTCATTCCAATTCACCACTGCCCCACAACTTTCAAACACACACACACCTCACAATAGTTCTATGCCCTTGATCAGATAAGATCAGAGGAGTTTGGATAAAACTTGTGAATTTTATCTCTCGTGTAATATATTCTTGTCATTAATTTATCTTGTATTAATCATAGATTTTCATTTGTGGTGATACTGTTAGTGAGGTATAAACATTCCTTGCGTCTAATTATTCCATCCATGATATATATTATTTGTACTGAATAATGTTTAGATAGTTCCGTCAGTAGCATATTAAATACTTTGCAAAGTATTTTTTCCTTTTTTTTCTTTTCCAGTTTTTTAGCTGTAAATATCTAAAACATTCTTGGTTTGTCAATGTTAATTTATTTTGAAGCTCAGTCAATGATTGTACCTTGTTATTCATGATTATATCATAATAGATAAATATTTGATTCCCTCGCTAAAAATATTATTCAAGTCTCCACCTAACATAATTATTCTCGCTGGTGTTCTATCAAGTATTTTCTGGATTTTATTAAGAATACCACATCAGATGAAGGAGGGATATATATATTGATATTTCCATAAAGATCACATTTTATAATCAAGAATCTACCCTCTGGATCAACATGTTGTGAATGTGAAATTAGGTTAAAAGAAATGTTCTCACTGATAAGTACTCCAACTCCTCTGCTGCTGGATGTGAAGGTAGACTCAAATGTCTCCGCCACCCACTGTGTCTTAAGATATTGCATTTCACCAGGTTTGAAATGAAGCTCTTGAAGAAAGACAATGTCTGAGGACGGTTTTTTTAAGTGACCTTTTCTGATAACTTCTTTTAGCCCATTGATTTTCCAGGTACAAATGGTAAATGTATTTGAAAAATTTTCCCCAACTACTACTTTGATACCATTACTCTGTATGCTATTAAGTGTTATAGGACACATGGTTGCTTTAAAGTAGGGGCAAACCCCAGTAGAGATCCATGACACAGAACATAACCCAATATACGGACAAACAGACAGACTGTAAAACACACATAAACAGCAAAGACTTACATGTACCCCTGACATATTTCCCTTCTTCGAAAAACTTGCATATATATCTTGCATAAGCTGACATATACTTTAACGGTAGGGCAAATTCAGGCAGTGCAGTTATGATTCAGAAAGTGCACCATTAACAACAGCCTGACACATTCATGCGTTTTTTGAATTTGCCGTCTGACCTATTTTCTCTTTCTTCTCTTTCTCTTTCTATGTCAGTTTGATAAATGAAAGGCCAGCTGGGCAAGCAGTGGATAAAACAAGGTTAGATCTTATCCCCTCCGTTTATCTACCGTTAAACCCGCCTGCACCTGAGCAACTAATGCTTCAGGACAATATGTTTTCGTTGAATGGAGGTTAGTGCACATGTAAAGTGGTACCCTCCGTAATCCCACAGTGAACACAAGCGCGCTGGGGACCCTGGGCAATTTTGGTGCCACATGTGCCTCACCTGCGGGTCTCAGGTGGGAGATAAGACCAGGGTGCTCCAATTCCCCCATGCTGCCATCTCCCTGCTGATCACCCCCGCGATAGTGGCGGGGGAGGGATGCATTGGGACAAGGGGAGGGGAGAGTCACACAGCAGGAAACTACATAAGGCATAACCACAATTTATTCCGTGCCTATCTGTTTTTTGCTCCTGTGGTTGTGTAAAGCAGGGTCCGGACAGGCTTTCCAGGTGCAGAGAGTAGACTGTGCGTGCAGACATGTCGGGTCACCCTGCTGCAGAGATGGATGACTCGCAGGAGCTGCCTGAGCTGCTGGTGAGTCTTGCACACCATGACGCCAACACAGAGCAGGAGGGGGAAATGCTTGTATTAATAACTGTGTTCACAAATTGGGCTTAAGCTTAAACTATACATAGTTTAAGAAAAGAGAAACGTTCATTTATGTCAAGTGATAAATTTCAGATAAATTAAACATGGGTCCTTTTTATTTTGTCATCAGTTCCTTGCAAATATTTGACCCACATTTAATCTTTCAGAGCTCATATTCAGGTTGTTTCTGCAGGTTTTGATTGTAGTAAATGTTCTTTTTTAGCCAACCAAAGTTTTTCAGAAAACATGAGCATAGATGATGGCGTGAGGTTCACTGTAATGCTGAAATTAGTTGCTCTTTCATTATTAATTCTTTAACAGAAACCTAGTCAGTGACTGTTTTGATTTAACAAGTGAGAATCTCAAATAGTTGCAAATTACTACTTCTCAAAATGTTGTTTTTTGACTGTTGGTCACCTTAAATAAGCACTTCTGAGACATTCTTATTGGTTTTCATAATTTCTGAAAGGCACTCATCACATTTTATAGACTGAGCAAGTTGTAATGAAACAATATATTACAGATTAAAAAGCTTTAAATTAGTATTATCCTGTAAGTTGAACAATAAAGCAGTTCAAGCTGCAAATATCAACAGTATTTGTGCAAACCTTTATGTACATCCCTTTAACAGCATAGTATATTGTATTGTGATATTGTGTGTAATACTTTATTGATGTAATAATGTCAAATATGATTTTTTAATGCTATAGAAAAATAAGCTCTATGTGTCTTCTAATACTCCATGAAAGAATACTTACAATTCTAAAGGACAACTGTTGCTGAGGAGGCATATTTTAGTATATTTTTTTATGATACTGGCTTGATTTCATTTTCATCTGACTTTATTGGCCACAATATTTAGGAAACAGAGATGCACATCACAGTCCTGACACAGCAGATAAAATAGAATTATTGTGAAATCCTTTTCCATAAACTTCTGTGTGTGTGTGTGCAGACAAAGAAGGCCAAACTTGAGATAGACGGTGGACTGGAGAAAGAGCCGAGGTCAGTGAGTTTCATTCTTTTTCTGATCCTTAAAACTGCTGCTTACATACTTTGATGGAAAACCACCACAAACAAATATTACATTTTAAAATACTTTTCCACCTTATCTTGTTTTTGTGATTATCTTAATGTTTTTTACCAGATTTGTTTTTTTATATATATAGATGGCAACTGGCAGCAGGCATTCTGTAATTATAATGGATTCTTTATGCTCCTTTAGTAATTTAGGTGATGATGGGAGTCCAGTTGCTGTGTTGGTTTCATCAGAGCAGGAAGGCTCTTACTCTGCTCTGTCCTCAGCCCAGCTCGATCCAGGTACGTAGAAAATGTGACATCACTCACAGTTATGTTCCTGGATGATACTAATGATAGTTTGTTTGATCGCAGGTGATCATGAGCGGTCAGACGCAGATGGAGGAGCAGCACCTCAAGCATGCGGCGGCACCATGAACTCGTATGCACATTCTGGTATGAACAGACACCCTGTCTCAGTTCTAAACAATGCACGGTAAACGTGTGGTATGTCAGACTGAAGCTGTTTTATCTTTTTGACAGCCACAGACTCAACAGCCACATCTGAATACACCCAACAGGTTTATCAAGGAAGCAAGTGAGTACACTGCAGGGAACATCTGGTTCATTATCATGTTCTAATGTTATACAGGTTTAGGAACGTGAAAGGTGACATGTGGCGCAGCCGCGCAGGGCTCCAGTGTGCAATCATTTGACTCTAGAGCTCTGATAGGACCCCACCAAAAAAACAGGCCTGACCCCGCATGAACCTGCATGGTTTCTGTCCAAGCCCAACCCAAGTCCTATATTACAAACCCAGATTTCTTGTGTGAAAATAAACACCTATATTTAAGATATTATAATGTATATATATTTAAATATTAGAACATTTATTACAAGATAAGGGCTGATGTATTTCTTTGCACCACTTCCCCTCCTCCACCTCCTCATTTCAATCATCTGTTGTCTTATGCAGGACAGGTTCGGCAGACTGGACTGCGCCCCTCGGTGCATTTAGTGGGCACAGGGTCCATGTTGACGCAGCATGCAGATGATGATCTCTGCTCTTTGCTGCATGTTATGCACATCTCTCCCAGTGCTGGGGAGGCAGAAACAAACACTGCTCCGCAAGTCACCTTGCTCTCCCCGAACTCTTTCTCTCGTTTTTCGTCCCTCTCACACGTGCACCCTATCTCTCACCCACATTTTCTCACTAAATTTTGACTTTGGTGTCACAAAATATTCCTTGAATGGAACTTTGCAGAGGGTTTTAGGCAGGCTATGGTCCCAGTGTGTTTCAGTTACGTCAAACATGTGCTATTGCCTCACCCCAAGCTGCTGCTTTAGTTTGGAACAACCCTGAATATTAATTGCTACATAGACTGCATTTAATTTTTTTCAACTTATTCCTACTTTAGCATGTATAAATGTTTGTCTAAATAGCAAATGTTCTGGTGAAGAAAACTGGGTTTAAACATGACTTCAGTTCAGTATTGAGACAGAGCACTGCAGACAGCAGAGACAGGCTGCAGTGTAGCTATTTGGGGCAAGTATGCAAGATCAATTTATGTCCACCAAAAGTGCTTGTTTCTGCCACTGACCCGCCTGCAGACATGCCCTCATTTGATGCAAATACTGATTCTCTTTTCTTTCAGCCCAGCAGTGACGTCATACACCAGTCAGGTGGCCTTTCCTCCTCTGGCTCAGTCCACGGTGTACTCAGCCTTCCCCCAGACAGGCCAGACCTACGGCCTCCCCCCCTTTGGTTAGTCGCTGCTCCTTCTCTAACAGCCTATTTTAACTGTCTGCTCACTAAACACCTAGCATCACACCTTTTGTTAGTCTGCTTTAGAGGCCTTACTGTGCTTTGGCGCTGTGGAATCAATTCGCTTTTGATCTCTGCTTAAACATCTACATCTTGACTGAAGGACCTGGTTTCTTATCTTTGCCCCGTCTTCAGTTATCTGCTCCTCTCGCTGCCTCTTTCATTTTCTGCATCTATTGCTCTCTCTGATCTTCAGGTGCTATGTGGCCAGGCATTAAAACAGAGGCAGGGCTGCCTGAGGCACCCTCTGGTGGCCAGCCTGGGTTTCTCAGCTTCAACGCCGCATATACCTCAACCCAGCCAGGCCAGCTGCACTACTCATACCCCAGCCAAGGCAAGCTGCAACCTCACTCTGTCTCACAAGATAACGCCGTCACCATCTCTTCTCGCAAAAATGAGAAGCACTGAAAAATAAAGGAGATCTTGCAGTGGCACAGCTCTGTTTCCTTCTCTTGTCCTCAAATACTGTGTAGAAATTCTTCTATTTTCCTCCGCTGCTGTTTTCAGTTGAAGTCTTTCTGTGTCCAGGCTCCAGCTTCACAACATCCAGTGTCTACTCTAGCATCCCTTCAGCTACGGCGGCTGCCACCACAACCTCCACCACAGCGGCCCACCAGGTACGTGAGTGGAGAACAGAACTCTGTCTTTGTGTCTTAACTGTCAGAAAATACATTGAGTTCAAAAAAGTGCTAAGAGAGTGTATTTAGTGTATATTCAAATAATCAAAATACCAGAAGAAAATCAACACTCTGAATTCAGGTTTTGAATTTCAAACATGCAGACAGTTTGCCACATGCATTGGATAGTAATATACCTAATAAAGTAAACAATCCAAGTAAGCCCTCCAAGCTAAAGCATGCTAACTACGCCAACAAAGGATTGGAAATGTGCATAACACGTTGCGCCGACTCAAGATGTCAAACAAAAGCTAGGGACTGATTATATTAAGTTCCTGTGAGCTGTAAATTCACCACTTTTAAGCAGAAGATAATGTTATGTCAGAGCTGGACTGGGCAAAGCCTCTCCTCCTCTGAGTAACTGCCTCCTTCACACTCAAGCCCTTTATCCACAGAGATTGCACTGTAGAGCTAATACGAGATCCCTTTTTTATGTTGCCTTTGCATTTTGCAAAGCACCAAACGACTGTGGCATCATTAAAGAAATCAATTAAAGAAATCGTCCCAAAAGTTATAGATGCGCTGACTCTGTTAATAAGTTCCGTAGTGATGGCGGCTGTAAATGAATCTACTAAACTCTTGCTCCAAGAGTGGGGAAAACACATGGACATGATCAGAAGAGGACAAGAGTCAGCTGTGAAAGCAGCGACCAAAGCTGCGATGGAGATAAGTAAATTGAAATTTGAGTGTGACAAAGATGAGCAAACTACTAGCAAGACAAACATTATCATTAGAGGAATCCCGTTAACAAACGGTGAGAACACAAAGAAAGTAGTAGTTGATCTGGCAGCCGAGATGGGAGTGGAAATGAAAGAGCAGGACATCGGCGTAAGCTACCGTCTGCCAGGGAAACGTGGAAGAGTGCACAAGGCTGAAGATCAACACTGCAGCAGAAACATTTTTGTCAAGTTTGTCAGGTATGAAACCAAACTTCAAATTATGAGAAACAAAAAACGTCTAAGGAGTATTGATGGGAAAAACAGAGTCTTTATTGAGGAAGACCTTACGCCTTTGAGAGGAAAGATCCTGAGACAAGTGAGGATGGATCCAGAGATTAAAAGAGCCTGGACAATGGACGGTAACATCTGTTGCATCATTAAGGACAACGATCAAGAGGTGAAGAAAACCATCTACTCCGGTGATGAGCTAATGTCCAAACTGGGATGG